AAAAATTATTGCCATTAAAATGGCCTTGCGTTAACGCGATAATAACGCGATAATTTTGACAGCACTAGTAAATATACAAATGTGTACGATGATGGGGCTGACCATTCAGAAATACACATAAGTAATCTAGTCATCATAGCTTATTGTAGAATAATGTCATTAGTTCCTGAAGCTAAAATAATCACCACTTGTCATGTCAGGCTTCAACAGTTGTTCAAGCGCAATGTTTTACAAAAATGTATGCCCTGATCTGAAGGAAAAATGGAAGATAAAGCCGTAGATGTTTTTCCTTCTCACCATGCCAGACAATGTGAGCATAGAGCTCACTAATGTGTTGACATTGAGGTTGTACTCTTTGAATACACATCATTAACTGTTCATGTTTTGTCTACTTTTAATTAGCTTTAAAGAATTCTTTGGTGAAGCATTTCTGTGATTAATTCATCTAGAGAAAATATATTCTTCCGGCAGAAGCAGCAGAGTAAAAGCATTAAATACCAGTGAGGAAGGTCTTCATGCTCTGACTGTGGGCCAGTTTGACCGGCGTGTGGCCAGAATAAGTTGCCAGAGTGGGATCTGCACCGTGGTTCAGGAGAAGCCATACTATTGGCAAGTTGTCACTTGCTACTGCATCATGAAGTGGCCTGAAGGAGAAAAAAAATGCATGTCTGTTGTTTTTTTTGTTTTGTTTTAGGGCACACAATATTTACTCCAAAGAAACCTCAAAATCTGCCATCACATGTCCTACTCTTCATCTACGAATGCTCACCGTGTTCCATCCTGAGCACTGCAGTTGACATCCGCACCGTGTTTGAGAAGGATCTGGACGATCTGAGTCCAGCCTCGTGAAGACGCCTCATGAAGAGCGGTGTAACCTGCATTATCACGTCGATTAACTTCTCTGATGTCCTTGTCCAGACAATACTGGACCACATCCTGCAGGGCAGAAGGACAAAGTCTTTCAGAGCCTAGTAAAAGAAACAGTGAATTGCAAAAAAAGCATTTCTGATTAGGTGTTAACCTGGTAGCCTAGGCGGGCGGCGCGCTGGAGCAAAGTTTCTCCTGCATTTTTATTGACTATCAGCCGGCGAACCTCAGGGGGAACGGGCCTTTTAGGAGACGAGTCTGAACCGCTGCTCCTTCCTGAGGAGCTTTTCTTGTTGGTCGGAGAGGTTGGCAAACTTTTTGGAGTTGGTGGAGGTATGAGTTGTGATTTTACACCAGCACTATCATCTTCCAGCGGGAGGGAGGTGCCGCGCTTACCAGAGCTGCTGCGCTTGGTCTTACTCTGTAGCAAACAATTCAAAGGTCATTATTTACTTTTTCCAACATATTGGACATGTCACATGCACCAGCTGATTTCAACCCTGTGAGAAACAATCTGCCATCTGGCCACAGGGGGGCAGTGTAATCCTACACATTTACAGCTCTGTTCATTTGAAATGTGCTGCAATCTGGGATGAAGGATCAAAAGCTTACCTTGGGTTCATCGCTGTCACTTAAGTGTTTGCTTTTGAACTTTCTTTTTCCCGAGGGCTTGTTGTTGCGCTCCGACTCCTCGCTCTCCTGGTAGCGAACTGATCCTGAGCGAGTGTATGAGGGTTTGGGTGGGGGAGGGGGCTCTGGGCTGGAGGCAACTGGGCTCGGACACCGATCTCTCTGTGGATCTATGAAGACAAATCAAATTAAAGGTTGAGGACAGTGGCACCAAGCTACAACTAAACGTAGAATGGCAACAGTTTTCATATACCGTACTCAGACCGTTCGAGGATTTTTATTTGTGAAAATGTCTATAATGTATAACCATTTTCCCATTGCACTACTTTGTATTTCTTCAATACGTAACGTACCAACAGAATTTGTTGGTGTGATGGGACATTAATACATGCAGGGCAGTTTATGCAAACTTCTGACTCCCTTAACCTCTGATCAATTTCATAAAGTGCTAATATGATCAAACATCCAAAGAAAAACAGAAGAGCGAAGACACTGAATCTAGATATAATCGGCAATCGTCAAACAGAGGCCAACCATGACTGAAAACCAAAATTTGAAACTAACCTCTCAATAAAGCCTTACATTTGATCAAATAGGCCTCAGTACATTTCTGCAGCATCCAGACCTGCCATTCAACATCAAATCAACCGTGATTCATCTCTTCTGGTCTACAGCAGCGTTAGCAAACCTCTTAAACCTGGCAATATTGATAGCTGTTGATCATTTTTTGTAGAAATCAGGCCAACATATCACTAATCTATGATATTCTTTTGATTGTTGGGATCAACTTAAAATTATACAATTAAAACATTCATGAAATTATCATTAGTAAGATTTAATTTATAAAAAAGTGACTGCCTATGGCTGTGATTAATGGTGCAATCTTTAGTTCATTTAGGCTCACTGAAACTTCTAAAAGCAAATTAAACAAAAGATGTTAACCTCATAAATATGGAAAATAATACATGCACATTTCTATGGTGAATATAATCTGATCAATCTTCTATTGGTCTGCTAGTGTTGAGATTAAAAAAAAAAAGCCTCCTGCTGTGAAGGGCAGCTTGTCTGCAAGATTCACTCTGAAAACAACCCTAGAACAGGCCAATCAACGCTGTTCTAAACACAGAACGTCTGCTAACCATTAAACCTCCCTTGTTCAGGCATGGCACTGGTTTGAGGTATTTATCAACTCCAAAATTGGGCTAATTAATCAGCACACTGATCAATCAGTGATCTCTCATTGTTCTGTAGATGGAGGTGAAGCTAGAGGTGGAGGAGGTGCTGCCTGCTGCTTCATCTGTGGGCTCAAACCACTGAAGGAAAATACTCAGGTGATCTGGCTGTTCTAGTTCTTTGGTTCTTAAATGTTTTATTTGTCTCAACATAATTTATAAAACCAGCAGCCATTTTCAAGGCAGAATACGCAGTTCATTATGGAGAAAACAGAAGCTGCTGCTTTACAGATTTATTCCGTTTTAAATGTGTCAGATAAAACAAATGTAATTATTAGACAAAGATATCAAACAGTGTTTATCATGTTACCATAAATAGAAAGGAAATCGCCCCTTTTTTCTAAACCATAAATTAACAGTCACTAACCAATTACTCATAAACTTAAGTTTCATTACTACCTGGTTTAAATATCCAAGAAATCGAATATATAGAACCTGTCTAACAACACGATGAAGGCAAGAATACACAGCAAAAATGATCTAGAAATTAGTAAAAGATTCTTAAATTAAGTGTATTTACCCTTAATTTGAGTAGGTAAATGAGATGATCTGCCAATGGAATGAGTATATTTACTCTTAGAATGAGATAATTAGATAATATGCACTTGAAATAAGACAATGCAATCATTTTTCTTTCTAAATGCAACTTGTCTTGTTCCATTGTCAAAGTGTCTCACTTGGGTCCTTAATTCAGGAAAAAAAAATTCCTTATTTTAAGAGAAAATGACTTATTTATATTTCTGTTTTTTGCAGTGCATCTCAAAGCAAAACTCCCTGATTGAAAGAAAATCAATAGACAAAAAGTAACTGAAGAATGATCTGCCTGGAAAGGGTTATCTAGAAATATCTAAGTCGTTGGGACTCTAGCAAATGACAGCAAAGTTTATTATCCCTAAATGGAGAAAACATGGAGTGAAGGTCAACCTTCTCAGGAGCGTCAGCCAATCAAAATCCCTCAAGAAATCCAAGATTAATACAGAACATCCCAAAAGAATTGACATCTAAAGCACTTGAAGCCTCTTTTACCCTCAGTTTGGATCAGCGTTTGAAGCTTTAACATCTAACAGAAGAAATAAACATTTTCCCAGCGTAGTTTATTTTTTCAAGTTAGGGGATACTTCTGATAAAAATCGCAATGACTTTAGATAAAAGCAGGAAGCACATAAAATCGGGAAAAAAAAGGAAAATTAGCACCTGAGCGGTGAGTAAAAAATTGTTTTTACTGCCTTTTTATAAAGGAGGGATTTTATCATTTGTATTTGGACAGCGGCTCTATAACCTCTTCACCATTTTTGATATAGAATTCCCCTCCTGGTTGTTTTATTTAGATTAATAATCATTCAAACAATGAACATAAGATACTATGAAATAGCTGTTCATAGCAGTTCAAGACAATTTAAAACTGCAGAGATAGGCAGCTAGAAAAATAATGAACGTGTGATAAAGGTAGGAAAATAGAAAAACTGGGTTTTTTATGATGCTTTAACAGGTGAAGTTGTGATTTGTCTATCTGAGAATTTGCTGCCATTAATCAACTTGCCATTAAAACATTAAAACAGAAGTTTGTAATCAATTTAGATATTGATGGTAGAGGTTTTTATAGTAATAAATAAAAAGAGAAAAATTGGTATTGGCAATCTTTAGATCTCATCCACATCTAAGCAACTTAGTTAACTAACTGAAAGGCAAACAAGCTGTGATGTTTTGTGGGATAAGTCTATAAATGATACTGGTACTGGCTAGAAGGAAGTCAGTGACTGCTGTCGTAGCTGTAATATCAGATAGAGCTGGACGATATGGAAAAAGCTCCCAATGTGTACTTTTTGTCAAAATAATGAACAAAAGCTTAATCATCTTTTTTTGGGATTACAATTATACCAAAATATTGAGAGATATGTAAAAAAAAAATTTCCATCAAAGAAATCCCAATATTACTTTAACAGATAAGGATGTTTTGTTTGGAATGGAGAAATGTGAACTTGTCAAAACAGAATTTGTTTATGTTGTAAAAAAAATGTTTATTATTTATGGTAAATATCATATTCACACCTCCAATATTTACAAAAAAAACTCAGAATTTCCTGATATTGTATCTGTAATTATGTTCTATGCTGTCCTTGTATGATTTTTGTTTGCAATAAAAAAAAAAAAAAACCTACCGTAAGCTTATATCAGGACATAGTTTTCATTTAGGATGAAACCGGGGCTGGACTGGGTCCTAAAAAAGGCCCGGACATTTTTGGTCATGACGTTTCAACATGACATGCAGCATACCAGACGACAACGAGACATTTTGAGTGGTTTTATAAATAAATACATAATAAAAGAAATAAAAAAAATTAAAGAGAATTATTTGGTGAAAAGGCTATTAAAAAGTTATTTAACTGACATCTTATTTGTAGTTTTAAAATGTTTATTCAAACAATCACAAAATTGTGGGAAAATCCTGGTATTTTGTAAAGTAAAATAGAAAGCAAACAAAAATAACTTAATGTGGAAAAAATGTTTCTTTTATCACTGTTGTAGTGGACCTATTTAATTTTTTTAATCCTTTACTTATATTATGACTTGATAAATCGATCATCTATTTCATATAAATCAACATATTAGGTAATTAATGATAAAAAACCTTTTTACTAAATTATGACAGCTTAAGGCCAGACCCAAGTACGGGTATCAGCCCAGTGGATATCTGCCCCGTATGCTCAATGGCCAATGCTCAATGCTCCAGCCCTGGTTGGTATAATCCTGATATCAATATAAACAATAAAACGCCTCAGACAGACTGCCAAGCATCCCCAGAGTGTTTTTAAACGCCTGTAAAACACGCAAAAAATATTTTGCCAAGTCTAATAAACTCCTCCAATATAAAATTTTAGACATACCTGTGTAAAAGAAACACATCTTACTATTTATATTTGGAGCAAGCAGCCTAACAGAGTAAATGCACATTCATCCAGGTTATCGTCTCTCCCTACTCATATTTCACAGTCCAAGGGTTATTAGCCTTTTTTATTTTTCTTGACTAACTCTCATATATCCAAAAAGAAAAACACACCTCAGCCTGACAGACTATGATTACAAATCACTATAATAATTTAGCAAAACAACTAATAAAAAGCTTTTAAAATACAGACTAAAGGTCCCCAATCAATTCAGAAACATCTTGCTTCAGACAAACCATCGTTAACTCTATAGGCAGAGCTTTATGTTGAGCCGTTTTATTTTTTTATTTTATAGTCCTGATTTCTACACCTCTCTGCCTCTTATTCCACAGCTCCCCTCTGCTCTGGGGTTTAGTTTAGTTTAGTTGGTTTAGTTTTTACTCACTCTTTCCTGTTAGCAATGTTAAGCTCAGGCTCTCCTCCTGTTTTAAAGGCTGCATGCTACGCTTAGCTTTTCGTCTACTCCTAACTGTAACTATAAGCTAGCTGACCGACCAGCTGTTGCTTATGAGCATCCCACTTTCTACATCGTCTACATGCAACATTATTTTTCTGATTCATATGATGCTAAAATCTGAGAATTGTTGGGACTATTGCTGTGTACAGGTCGACATTCAGTCCCCTCCTTTTGTATCTAAAGCTTAGGGAGATGGAGTCTACCACTGCTGAGCACATCCTACAGCTGCGGGCCACAGGCTCCATGTCACTTCTGCTGTTTTAGTTTGTTTGGTGATGTTTTGTGTGCCCTGTACCTGCTGGAGTTGCAGTGTCCTGTCCCGCGGACTCTTCCAGGTGCTCTCCCTCTCCCAGCTTGTCTTTCTCTGTGATGTATTCACCAGTCTCGTACTTCTTACTGGAACATCGTCTGCGTTTCTTATGGCGGGGCGTGTCAGCCTCAGTGCTGGCTCTTTTACCCTTCCCCTCAACTGTGCGCTCAGGAAACGTGTTTGATCGAGGCCTTCCTCGTGGGCGGCGTGCCGGCTGGCTGGGTGTTGAAGGCGGCGATGGGGACACATCTTTGGGCGGCATGGGGGGAGGGGGAGGGGAAGGCGTGGCAAAGCCCCAGAGGTCAAGTCGGGCATCATCAGCCCGTCTCTGTCCTCTCCTTAGTCTTGGGACGGAGGACTCTGTAGCATCTCCTTCTTTGTTGGTTACAGAATTAATGGGAGAAATTGAAGTGTCTAAGCTGGGGGGACTTTTATCTGTAACTGATAAAGAATCAGTGTTACATTTATTAGTTATGGGTGTAAAAATGTACATAAAGTAAAAGAAAACAGAGAAACAAGCATCATCTGTTCCCTGCACAAAAGATGGGAAGTGTCATTAATGAACGCATGCTGAGAGCTTTCTATACAAAGGCTGTACCTGTTTTTTTGCGTGTGGCTTGTTCAGCATCATTGAAACTGATCTTGTCCTTTGGATTTGGCTTTTCATTCTGTGGGGAAAGTTCTCCTGCTGACAGATTCTGCTCCAGTGCAGGTGCAGATTGCTTCTTCTGTTGAAATTCACAGGGGACACAGTGGGCATATAATATGGGATGCTATTGATCACAGACTTTCACGGTAAAGGGAGGCAGGCAAACTCAGAGTGTGATCCTAGAAGTCATCAATCTTAGACTGGAAGTATAAAAATGGAGGGTCTGACCATCCAATTAACTAGTAAATCTTAAAATATGTCTGTTTATGTTTATCCTGGTTACTCTAATATAGATTATTAGCAATGATCACATATCTTTAGGAGGTCAACAAAACATACCTTTTTTTTCACAGAGGCCTTGACTGGTGTTTTCTCCTTGTCTTGCTTTTTCTTCCCTGCAGCCTTCTTTGAAGGGTCTGCTAGTGGCTTCTCCTTCGCTGGTTTCTTAGGACTGCTCTTCTTTTGTTTGATAGTAGCTGCTTTTGCTTTGGTTGGCTTCTCTTCTTTGGTACCATTTGCTGTTTTCTCCGTTGTGTCCTTCCCCCCTCTGCACTGGCCAGTAAGAATGGATGCAACCATTCCGTCTAATTTTTCACCAGCGGTGCCGTTTGATGTCCCACTTTCTCTCCTTGATATCTCCCCTTCCAACACCTGGGCAAGTTTGCTCTCCATCCTGCTCCCATTAGTTGATGCATTGCTGCCAAAGACAGGAGCCTGACCAGTAGACTTGGAGAAGCCTTGTTTTGCTTGCAGGCCAACACGCTCTCCTTTATTACTGTGAACAGCGGTATTATTTTCTGACAGTTCAGTAGCATTCAGCGCCTCATGCTTTTTTGTAATTTGAGTGAATTCTCCTTGAGATGGCCATTTTTCCACAGACCAGTAAGGTGGGTATTCAAAGGTAGTATGCTTAGACTGGGGATCCTTGCTCTCATTGAGTGGACTGAGGACATCCGAGTTTCTCGATACACCAGGGGAAGCTTGGGTATTTACCTCATTCGTGAGTGCTGTTGTTTCCAGGCCTTGCTGCTTTACAATAGAAGCGAGGTTGGACAAAGGGGACTTCAATCTCTCCCACTTATTATCCTCAGGTTTAGGTGGGCTCTGAAGCTTGGACCCCTCTGTGACGGTGGTGCCTTTGGTCTTTGAAGATCCTTGAGGGTTTTTTCTTTGAACTGGACTGGATTGCTGAGGAAGTTGGGTTGCCGGCTGCCAGGCTGGAATGACAGCAGCAGCAGAGAGGGGCACTGATGCCTTGTTAGGTCCACATTTCTTTTGACTTTCAGCACTGGGTGAGCTTAACAGGGCTGTTGAAAGAGCACCTTTAGGGGGACAGTTCTTGGCTAAGGCCGTATTGGTATTTTTAACATGCTTCCCACTGTGAGCATGTTGGCTTCCCTTCACCAGACAGGATGGCTTCTTCCCTCCCGTTGCCAGATGTTCTCCTTGGTCAATTATAGATATAAACTCCTGTTTAGCAAAGCTCTGAAATTCATCTGCAAATGTCCCCTTTCCATCTTTGCCTCTTAAAGTAGAAGCCAGTATGGGGCTAGCAACACCAACATATGTACCAGGGATACTTTTAATGGAGTCTTGTGAAGATCCCTTTGCCCATGTTGCTTTGGGTTCTGTAATCTGGTGATTCTGAGTCCTATTCAACTGCTTTTGATGGGATCCGTTTCTGTGAGAATTTGGTAACACTGGGTATTGTGTATTTGAGCAATAAGCTGTGGAATGAGTCCTCTTTGCATTCAGAAAATCTCTCTGATTGGACTCTTGAGGCTCAACTGTTGCATCAGATATGCATTTCAGACGTTTTGATTTAGCTGACAAATCTAGGGGTACATCTCTTTGTTCACCGGAGCAAGCTGTGTGGTCCTCTGCAGCAGTGGGCGGTATGGTGTTAACAGCAGCCATTACTGTCTTGTCTATGCTGTTCGTTTTTTCTAAGTGGTTCAGGAGCCTGCTTTGGGAGGTGATGCTGGCCAGTGTTGAACCGCAGCAAATGGCAGCTGTCGGAGACAAGGTGTAGTGAGTGGGCGCTGCTGAAGTTAATGACGGATGCTGCAATGGCAATGCAATAGCTGGTGCGGCTACCACAGAAGCTAAAGATTTATGCTCTCCTTGAGATTTGGTAGTTTTGCTTGAAGAGTGGTTGGGTTTGAGCTTTAGGTTTGATCCAGCTGCTTTTTTGTCTGCAGTCCGACCGACAGACAATGGATAGGGATACGTTCGCATGAGAGATGTCCCTCCAACACCTGAGCCCTGAGGCTGGATTTCTTTCTGGAACTGACTGCTTGTGGCATCTCTCAAAGTCGTGATTTGACTTAATGCTGGTGGAAGAGTAATTTTACATAGCTGAGGGGAGAAATTAGTGGAGGGAAGAAAGGCAACAGGCTGGGCTGGCTTGAACATGGCAGAGCACTGAAACCCTGGAGCAAGACTTTGCGGAGACTGTGTCTGTAGATGCAATTTCTTACTAGAATTCACATTGCTGTTACATGGGTTTAGAGAGTCCTCCCGACCGGATTTTACACTGCTTGACCACTGAGAAGTGGGGAAGACCCCCGACCCATCAGCCCTGACTTTAGGGGTTTCTGTCCTTTTGTCTGCTCTCTTCTCTGAAGTGCCGAGGACTGAGCTGGACATTGGTGCATTATTTGGCTGTAGAGGCAGAGAATTTTCAGGACCGTGGTTGGAGATGCTAGTGTCCAGGCAGGCTTTCAAGGCCTTACAGTCTTTAGTTGGAGTGGTCTTTTTTTGCTGACTGAGGTTCACATCTCCTCTAAACTCGGGGGGTAGCGTCTGGGGAGGATTTCCAACCATAGTAGTGGATGTTTTAGTCAGAGCACTGATCTCTCTGCTCACCGGGCCTCCATCCCCTACATTCATTAGTGTAGATTCAACCTGAGCAATAAGGACAGAGGTTAATAAGACCAGGGTTGAGTAGATAAGAGCACATATTGCTTTAATCAAGTGATCTAACTTAAGCAGAGGGAAAGCAAGTACCTGCATAGGTGTTTCTTTAGCAAAACATGCCTCGGGTGGTAACTGTGCCAGTCAGTATCTTCTTTATTACAAAGCGATATGCTGCAGAATATACAAGAAAATTGGAATTATGATGTTGACACTGTACTGTAATATTTTTAGTCCAATCAGAGAAAGCAAGTAAAGAGACTAGTAAATAGACTGATCCCATCCACAGTGTGAAGTAATTAATACAAGTGTGTGCTTCTTTAGTGAGAACAGGCAAGGACATTACAACATTAGAAATGGCATTAGGGATCCCTTTTAGTTAACTAATATCCACCATTTACAAAGCTGTACTTTAACTAAAGATTAAAAATTAAATTTAGTTATGTTCCCCCCCCCCCCGGAATCAAAATTATGTCTTTAGTCAAAATTCTACACATAAACCCCCAGTAAGAAATGCAAAGAAAAAGAGAACTTTTGAGATTGTTGCAAATTCATTACCAATACAAAACAAAGACATTTCATTAGCACATTCACACCCTTTGCCATGAAACTCAAAACCTGGGCAGAGGTGCTCATGTTCACATTGATCATCCTGGAGATATTTCTAATGCTGTGGACACTATGAAGTTATAAGTAAAGTAGGAAAGCAGGAGTTGGGGAGATTGTTGGGGTTTAGGATTATACAAAGGAGAAGGATTTGACTGAATAAGTCTAAATTCTTTGTAAACATTCGTTTAGACACAAAGACCAAGTTATACATGTAATATAATAACATATACAGCAGTAATGATACATAGTGTATGTATATGTTATATTTGTAGTTATACTGGGCTGGTCTGAAATAAAGTTTATCATTCATTAATTCGTTCATTCAATGTTGAGGTAAGGATTCAGTGTAAACTAGGAAAGTATCTGCAGATCAGACTTCATACACATGCAGTCATTGAAATCACTGGAGCATCTGAATGCATTGATATGGCGGGTTGACCCAATCATTTGTTCATATAATATAATATAATATGTTTTCATACTCTTGGTTTTGGGTTCATACCTTTCCCTTAAATTGGGCATGGCTGTTCACATCCTGTGATTTGGACTAAAGCGTTTATATTAAACTTTGTTTTCTAGAGCTCCTTAAGAGATAAAATATTTTTTAGTAAAAAAAAAAATTTAACTGTGGTCTACCATGAGGAAAGTCTGGTGAGCTGCCTCAATAATGCAACACCTGTTTTCTTTGTTTGAGATAGTAGTACATACTGAGGTTACCAAATCCTTACAACATTACATGTATCAGTTATATCACAAGGATATTTCTCTTTTACATCCAAGATATTTCAATACAGCCAAGTAAAGAAAAAGAAAAACATAATTTAGGGGATACATCTTGCACTCAAGTTTAGTCATAGGCTTGTAAAATTAAGACAGGTTCTCTTAGAATACATGGTCTACATGCAACATTGTCTCTCTAGAAGACTGAGGTGTTTAACAAATAACTAGGACTGGCCGATATTCCAAAACTTCTATCACGATTAATATCTTAATTGACACAATACAAGTTCCTACTGACGTAAACAAAACTATGGCCTAATTAAGACTGCCAAGAATGCCCACAACATTTTAGAAAAATTTGCTTAAACATAGCACTGAATAAAACCCAAGACATCAGTGACAAATGCTTTATTCATAGACTGTAATCTGTATTGAAATATAGGACAAAAGTCCTAGTTATAAAATAAAATCCTTTTGTGATATACATATATTGAAATATAATCCACTGCTACAAATAACCTTCAAGTTCATGTCACTGATGTGAAACCGAAGCATGTTAATTTTGGGATAATGATAGTTCGGGTGATTAAAAGCATTTGTGAATTAACAGAAGTATCAGTGGATGAAATGATGTAATGTTTGTTGAACGGCTGACTGCAATGGGGAGGCTTATAGTCTATCTGCAGATAGAGCAAACAGGAAACTGATCGCAAGTGGTTACTAAGTCAGGAAAACTGTGAAAACAGATTTTAATGGCAGGTAGGAACTCATAGAACTGACTACTTGTGGCTGCATCAAACTGCATACATTATAAAATCAAAGAGGATGTAGAGATCATTAGTTGATGTCTTCCTCCATCTTATTTAGTTTGTGCAAATCGATTAATCTGTGGATTATTTTTTTATGATTATTCAATTATCAGGTAGCCAAATGTTCCTTAAAGAAGATTTTTAACAAAACTAAACCAGATAAAAATAAAACTTTTCCACTCAAGGAGTTCTGGATAAAGGAGAAGACAGAAGAATACACTTTTTGTCTTAAATGAAAAATGTTTATACACATTTTTTAAATTTTTGATATAATAACTGCTCTAAATGGGTCGCTCTGTCAGCTAAAGGCATGTTTTAGAGTCTCTATATTGTAATTAACAATTACCGATCGATTACTAAATAAGTTGACTATTATTTCAATACTTGATTAACCACAATTAATCTGACTATTTTTTTTTCTTTTAAAGTGAACAATGTGAAGTTAGAACTTTTGCATTCGGAGCGAGGATATTCTGCTTCAGGAAGATCACATCATCTATTTGCCATCGTGTTAAGTTTGACTTTACTAAGTAACTATACTGCTGATGCTAAAATATTAATAAAAGAGTCTTTAAAGGCGAAGCAGAGTAACAAATATAATAGTCCAGAATATTACACATCACAAAATAACAAACAAAACAAGATTAAGGCAAAGAATACAAAAAGGGAAGGTTCATTTGTAGTGTTTTTTAAAGGGGCAGGACTGTAACGCATAAAAAAAAAAAAAACATAGCTTTTAATGTATAAAAAGGAACACAATTTTCTGCATTTATTCATACATACTAAAATCCTTTCATTTACTGTTTCTTGTACATCCGTAAATCTGAGACACAAGCACCATCACAAGCCTTGGTACACTGCAGGACTAAAAAAAATCTGAATGAAACAGAAGTCAAACTTTAACTATGGTTCTGTGAACTCCTGGATGACTGCCAGTCACACCAGTCACTCGGAACTTTTCAGTGAGAGGATCCCACTGATCTGAGCATAGCTTCCAAGGTATTAACTAAAGACGTAACACCCAGGTGGACCACATCATTAATGTGAATTTGTTTATAGAAGAACCTTGACTTTTGCAGAGCGGATGGAGTTATCCACTTTGTTTAAAGCTACTGGCAGTCAGAAATGAACGACACAGGACTTGTGTTGTAGCAAGCACAGAGGTTGGCAATGCTAATGTTAGCGTCCACAGCTGTGGTACCAATTGTCAAACCATCCTACATCGGACAAGATTTTTTTTTTCTGAAAATCTGAACTCCCTAGTAAAACAGGTTACAACATGAACTCTTCTCTTAGTAACTGGCTTAAAGAAAAAAATAAACTAGCCTCAATATTTTTTACGAGCAGAATGTATTTTTAAATTGAAAAGTTTGTTTGTTTTGTGCTTTTCTGTTTTTCGACTAAATACAATTAATTGTGATTAATTCCACACTGTAATTAACTCGACTAAAGGTTTTAATTGAGTCCCACCAGTAGTCATTAAAGAAAGCTGTGATAAAGTATTTGTCCTCCATAGATTTTCTTTGCTTTTTTACCTAATCAAGTGTTTCATAATAAATTGTAATATTGGATAAAGTTAAGAAAATTTGATTTTTTTTAAATTGTGATTTGATTTATGAGGTTAGCTATTTAAGCCAACACAGAGCTGTCAGGAAATGCCCCGCAGCCAAGAAGGAAGATTTTCATGCATGAATGTTCACAGCAATTGGATTAAAGTCCGGACTTTGACTAGGACATTCTAAAACCCTCATTTATTGCCCTCCAAGGTAGGTGTGCATTAGATTGTTGCATCACTGTACATCCAAAGTTCTCAAGTTTAAGGTGTTAGAACTGATTATGTCTAATTTAATTTTCTAAGTGAAAGAGAAGCCATATTTCATGGCTTAATCAATTATAAACATTTTACCAGATTATGAAGAGGCGAAGCAACCGCTGATGATTGTACTATGGTGAAAAAGCTTCATTGTTGGTAAAATATTCTTTTTATGAAAAGCTGTTTTTGGCAAATAAACCAGAATTTAAATTTTTTTTACTAAAAGTTCCTGGGTTTGCCTCATTAGCCAGAATATTTTCCAAATGTAATAAGGATAATCAAAATTCTTTTGGAATACAAAGACCATGGAGGGTCTTTCTATTCTTAAAGCAGGGGCATGGTTCGAATCCTGAAGCACTCCCATGGAAGCCATTTTGCCCAGTCTCTTCCTTGTAGATTTATAAACATATTTTAACTGAGGCAAGCTACACCTCCAGTGGGGCTTCAGATGTTACTCTGGGTTCTTTTGTGACCTCCTGGATGATTTGTAGCTGGGCTCCAGGAAGAGTTTTGTTTGACTGACCACTCCTGAAAAGCTTAATCTCTGTGTAATTTTTTTTCTCCCACATTTGTGGACAATGGCTCTCGCTGTGGTTCAATGGTGGCCCCAAGCCTCACCAACTGAATTACAGCCCTTCTGGGATAGGTGGATGCCAGTGAGTTTTTTCTAGTTTACTCTTAAATTTATTTAGACCACTGTGTTATTTGTTGCTTGTAGTGATCATTTGACATTATTTAGCTTCTAATTATGTGGTAACTTAATTTAACAAATTTGGCAGTAATTAGGGCTGATGAGCTGCCTGGAAAACCAGTTAATTGACGATTTATAACATGTGGCCAACTACTTTCTAACAGGTGGGTGAACTGTAGCAGCTTTTATCCCTAAATAAATGAAAATCATCATTTAAAATCAGTTATTTCCGTGCGTTAACGTTGATATCAAAGTTAGTTGGATGAAACATGAAATGTGTGACCAAAATCAAAAACAGAAGAAACCCTCGCAGGGTTATAAAACTGTGACCCCTGGTTTATAAACACCCATTTGAATTTTGATACATGCCCTCAAATAACAATTTTCCTTCATAATTATTTTAAAGATATACGTCTGGAAACAACATGTTTACACTAACCTAAAAAGTGAATTCCAATAGCACATCTGGTACTATACTTTGGTTTACACACCATATTTGTTGAAGCCACAAAATGAACTACAGAGTCATTTCTAACCTGTTATTACTCTGGGAAAACAACAATTGCTTTCCCAGAGTAATAGACTAATGATGTCTTAGATCACCTATGACACATCACATGATTAAAGGTTTTTCCAAGTCCAGAGAGATAGCTGCAAAATAAACATCACGGAGACATGATGTGAAAAATCTTTCTAATTTAGAATAAGTTAATGAAATCATCTCATTCAATATATTCTTTTGGTTAAAGAGCATTAGCAACATACAGATGAAGGTTAACATCAGCAACACAGAAACAAAACCCTTTCCACATGTAGAGACCACATAGCCTGATATCACTCACTAACAGGAATACTATCTACTAAAATGAAAACCATTTGCTCTGACAAGAAAACCTTAACCTGCTGCACAGCATCTTCCAAAGATTCTGCATCCCATGGAAACACACCACCTTTTTAGGGTTTTCATATCAGTGGAACTTTTGCTAATTTTCCTCAGGTTATTACCACAAACCTAAGTAGATTTTATGTGATGAAACACAACGCTGTGCATATTGTGAAGTAGAAGAAAAGAGATACACAATATTCTAGATGTTTACAACAGAACTGAACTGAAAAGTGCAGCATGTGAGTTTGTCGCAGATATTTTTGATTTTGTGCAAAAAGTGTGGTCTGCGCTACGTTATTCCACGCCACTTCGCAAGAGGGACAATCATGATCAAGCTGTGGGTCTAGATAAGGCCGAGGAAGTGGGGGCACGTTTGTCCGACGACGGAGGGGCATGAGGGTGAAAAAGAGCGGGGATCCAGGTGAAAACAGGGTCCTAGCGTTCTCGCGCACCTCGCTCTTCCAGCTGGTCCAACTTATGCAGGTGTTTTCCGCAGTGGCGGTCATACAAACAAAACAAGGCCGTAAGGTACCAAACAGAAATTACGGATAGTGTAGAGCGGATGTAGATTTGACCAATCAGAGGCCTCCTGTCTGCAGCACTGTCTGCAGTCACCTACAAGTTTGGAGGGGTGCAGCAGAGTGTCTGCGGCAGGGTTGGAGGCACATTTGCATTAATTGCCACACACACAGAGACGACCTGGTTTCTGAGTATAAATCAGCCTTTAGAAAACACCTTTCAGTGCCTTTTAGGGGATTTTTCTACTGATCATCTAGAGAATGGCCTTAGTGGATTTTTGTTTTAGAGCAGAATGGCTCAAGGTCCGTGAAACTGGATGGAATATGTGAGCCTCCATTTTAAGGTCATGCAGAAAATGTTCACAGTCTGGGCCATTCTACTACTTGAAACCAATCCACTGTTGCTCTGGCTCAAGGCTGAACCTCCTCTATAGTCTGATGCCATCTACATGTGTTCCTGCACTGTTGCTGTGCATTTAGCTCCATTCATCTCCCCGTAAACCCTGCCGGTTTCACTGTCGCTACTGAATCAAAGGATCCCCACAGCATAATACTGCCACATTTTACCACAATTGTGTTGCCCATTCCTTTTTTCTACCACATTTTCTTTTATTCTCTTCTACATGTTTTTCTCTTGAATTGCTCATGGCTAACCCTAAATGGGACTTTTAAATGTTTTCTTTCTGCAATTTATTTCCTCTGCCAACCATTCCATAAAAGCCAGATTTGTAGAGTGCATGACTAACATTTTGTTAACAGACTGTTCCATCTGAGCTGTGGATTTCTGCAGCTCCTCAGGAGTTACCATGGGACTCTTAGCTGCTTCTCTGTTTACTGTTGTTCTTGTGCAGCCTGATGGATTGGGCATTGCTCACTGTGAGACATCAAAGTTTGGGTTATCATTTAACACATGAACCTGCTTTAAGCCTAACAACGTGATCCCTTATCTATCTACTGTGTTCCTTGCTCTTCATGATGCTGTTTGTTTACTCAGGTTCTTGAGGAAACTTCTGAGTCTTTTACAGAGCAGAAGTACTTATACTGTGATCAAAATGCAAACAGCTGGCCTCTATTTACTGATTAGATCTTTTTCTGCATTTTATTTTGTAAATGCAGATTCAAATGTATAAAATATATACATGTGTTATACTTTAGATAAAAATATTAATTATGGTAGGTTATTTGTCAAATTTATATAGAAAGGTTTAAGAGTAGGAGAAATATTGAAAGGTATTACATATATCACACTTTGTTTTCCTAAATATATTGTTATGAAAGATGTACCACATGTTTGATGTCCTGTCTTTAAGGCTTTTTTTTTAGCTCAACAAGGGCTTCGAATTATCATGATTGCATTTTATCATTACTAATAAGCCTCTAGGTTTCAGGTGTTATCTAAGAAAATCCGACTTGCTAAAGAATGAAGTCATGCTAGCACACAGAGCAGAATATAAAACATTTTCCCTTCAACCGATGGATGTTAAAAAGGCTGTCCACCTGAATCAATATTAAGTGTAACTGACTATAACCTACAACTATGCATTATAATTAGGGCTGTGTAATATTAGGAAAGCATGGCATTGCAATATATTGTGAGTTACCTGCATGTTCCTCTCTCTATTCTCTTCACTGGTCTCCCTGAGCTATAGGATCTTGGTCACCATGATGTGTACCAGGTGTTGGCACAGATAAGTAGCCCAAATGAGTTATATGAGGTCAAAATCTGAATGCATGACAGGTGAAATCATTCAAAGCAAAGCATCAAACACTCAAAGAGTCTTAAACTGTAATTTACATTGTCTCATCTGTTAGTCTACCCAAGCATTACTCCGTTATATCCAAATAAGCTTAAATCTGTTCAGACTACAGCAACTCAACCAACAGTTAAAAAATACAATATATTTCCAACATGCAACAGTGCTGAATAATTTTCCCGCTGATGGTTGCATTTATCTGTTGCTTCAAACAGCAGCTGGAGTTAAGGTGGCCCCTGACCCCTGATCTCCATCTATGACAGTTTATTAATCCATATATGAGGCAATCACAAAAAAAAAAATCTATAGCAGTGTTTTGCTTAAAGGAAAGCCCAGCAAACAGTGGAAGAACTCAAATGAGGAAAACATGCTTTAGAATTTCATTGTGGGTTTAAGGAGGCAGAAATGGAGTAAGATTCTTATTGCACCTGAGCATATAATCTAAGACAACACGTATAATAGAGTATAACAGCCATTAAGCGTTGCAATCCTAAATCAAGCATCCAGATTACCTCCATGTGAACAGGGGAGGAATCCTGGATGATGGTAGAGGTGAGCTCACTAAAAATCTAAGGTTCAAGCATTAAATGCAATAAAAATGTCTCACCATAGAGTGATTGGAGACAAAGCTAAGACGATGCACACACTGACTGACAGACACATCAAATCTTTGTGCGTAATCTGCGTGCACTGATGAGAGATAGGGAGAGATGGGGGGGAGGCAGCGATGCAGATGCCGCTCCGTGGAAAGGAGGGTCTGCATATATTACCGTACAACAGTTGCTTACAGCGAGTTTGCCTTTGTGCTCCGAAACATTTCAATCTATTCGCTCGGATGTAGGCCAGCCGCTGCATGCAGGTCCGCGCACACGCCGTGGGCATTAGACGAAAACAAAAAGTGGAGGCTGGGAATACCTCTGAGAGAGAGGAGAAAAAAAACAGCCCCCCACTCCCATCCGGTCAGCCCCCCCTGTCCTGTTCAGCGGGTCCCAATGTCACAGCTGGGGGGGGGAAAAAGTGCATAAAAAGAGCTTTAAATGCAGGCTGTATTGGGGATCTGGGTATAGATATCAGCAGGGAAAAACTCTGGAGAGCTCCGCGAGCATAATGGGAGGACTCAGGTGATCGGTGCATCCGCAGGCAAACATGGACACTAACTAGACAAGCCTCCCTCTCTGTAAAAAAAATCGTGTTTTTCAACATGATCAGCGCAGTAAAAGGAGATATCAGCCGAAATGTGTCACATCTGCGCCTGATAAGGTCAGTCAAGATCCAGACAAAGTCAAACAGAGAGCGAACTAAACAACAACAAAGTAACACATGACAAACAAACGATCATTTCCACTGGCTAGCAGCACACAAACTGGACTGACTGGTAGACGGGTGCGAAAAAGTAGTCCGCTAAAAGAGGGACAACAGGAGAGAGGAGGGCTGCTGACAACTTATTATGAGGAACTGAAGTGGATCCAGCCCGGGTCCAGCTCCCTGCGCAGCCGCCGCTCTGCGTGTTGAGGCAGGCTGCTATTTATCCCCCTAATGTGAAGAGCTCCAGCCTCTCTTATCGGCCCTTTAGCGGACTAACTGACTGAACCACTGAAAGGCATTCACCGAGCCTCTCCTCACCGCCCCCCTCCCTTTATATTTTTACTCTCTACCTCAAAAACTGAATCAACCCTAATCAGCAGCGGAGAGAAAAAAAAGATGTCTAATGACACAAACAGTTACCAACCCGCTCGTCCAGATGGCAAGTGAACGACGCGCAGGCACGACTGTGGTGGAGACCGAGCGTGTCCAGCCGTTCCTCTCCGCCGTCCGCGGCTGCCTCACTGAGCTCGACGGTTTTCGGCTCTAAAAGTCCGGGGAGGAGGAGGAGGAGAGGGGGGGCGGGAGGAAGGGAGGAGAAGAGGAGGGAGGGGGGGTCGTCAAGACAGTCCGTTCCGTATCTCCAACCTCCAGTTTGGTGGGAGAGAGAGAGAGCGGAGGGAGAGGGGCAGGAGGCTGCGCGGGGACGGCATGGGAGATGTAGTTCTCGCCTCTCCACGCCCCGCGTTGGACGCTGGAGAGGATGGGAGGGAAGAGAACTGCAGGTACCGGCATGCACCGCGAGCTCCAGCCGCTCAGGGGAATGGGGGATCGCGACCAAAGAGTGTAACGGTGCGCTAAACTGAAAAGGCTTATCGGGGGCAACCAAGTCATGAAGTGTGTGTATTTTATTATTTTTTTTAATAAACAAAAGCGGGGGGTTCGATTATCTATGAAGCTGTTACCGAGTCAGCGAAAGGCGGATCAATTAAGAGTCAGCTGCTGAGAAAGGCTTTAATAAAACAGATGAAAAGGCAGAGTGGCAGTGGTGTGGGTCTGTTTGCTTGAGAACTAACATGAGGAAGCAGGACTCCGGCTGCTGGAGGCCCTCCAGCTGCAGCCTGACAGACTGGCTTGCAGGAGATGGAGGGAGGGGGGGCGGATTTTCTACAGATTTTTTTTTTTTGCAAAGGATTTTGAAGCATGTTATCTTCAAAGAAGCTTTGGTCTTTTGTGGTGATGCCATGGATCTAACTTTACCAGTCTAATGAGCTTTAGTTTCAAATACATGGGCTGACCCACACAGCTCAGCTGCATGAAAAGCAGGAGATGTGCAACGTTCGACAGAAAAAGTCTCCTAAGCAAATCAGACATACTGTCTCTGTTTATCTTATGGATATCAAGTCAGTGAAGAGATATGAGGCCCGGAGAACCTAAATGAGCCTTGTCTTCATTTATACAGTTTCCATTCGCTCTAAAATGTGGAGGACATCACTGATTATAAGTTTTAAAAACATACAACGCAAGTCTTACAATTTTGCATTTTACAGCAGATAAGAAGCTCAATGAGCTTTAGAGCTACATCCAAAATAAGGATTGTAGGAGCATGAATTTACACTTTGTGATTATCTTGGTATGCATTATGGTTAATGTTTTGTGTTTTTCTTTCTAAATTAACCTTTCTTGAAATTATTAAATATTATTGGTAATTCATACTAATTCAGGTAATTTGTATATTTAGTTATTGTGGTTATTTTGTTATTATTTTCATTACTTCTTTGGTTTAAGGATGCATACTTGTCCCTTTTTAAGGATGATGCTTCATGGGAGTTTGGTTGTTGTGTACCCCAGAGTGGAGCCAAATGTTTTTTTGACCTCTGTCATCCTTATTTTTTGTATGTATGTTTGGCACCCATTTATCCTGTCTACTCACTAAAACATTTTTAAATGCAATAAGGTCTTCGTGGATTTTTTTGGACGAATCATCTGGATAACTTGTCTTTGGAAATATTTAGGGTGCAGCGAGTCAGGCCGGCTTCACTGATTTTTGAACCCCACAAGGATAGATATGGTTTTAAATAAAACAGTTGTTACATTAGAAATCGCTGACATAATCAAACTCATCCTCTTTAGGTTTTTTGAAGTTATTTTAAAAATAAACTTCTTCACCACTTGATATTAAGCTTTATTTAAAGCTAATATCTAATGTGGTTTATGTCCAACCCCACAGATAGACCCGGCAGAAAATCTTAGGGACAAAACAAAAATCTTAAACATCTCATGGCTTGGTAGTGCTCCTGTATACGAAATCACTAAAAAAGGTATTTTTGCATTTGTTTTGTTTGTTTCCTTTCTTGCATATGTTTGCATTTCGAAATGTTTTCACCATCCATTTAGGAAAAATTGAGACATTAACCCTAACCTTTAATCTATACAAAGACTATATTCTTATTTTGTATCATTCATAAAAGCCAAATAGAAGCCCTCTGATAAACACTGCTTGATGTGCATATTTAAATCACAATTGCCCTTAAATTGTATAAGTCAAAAGGAGATTCAAATCATAGTTTTTGTTTTTAACACCTCAATTTACTTTTCCATTGCCTACAGGGAAGTAAATTCAACTGATTGAAAATCTTTTTGGCAACAGAAATTACAGCAGGAAAATAAATGTTAGCTGCTAAAATGAACAGGTCAGATTATTATAGCAGCAGAAGAAATAACTGTTGATTTGTCAGTGAAATAATGAATTCTATTAAAATGTTGTGTTTAACAGTAGAAACCTAATCTCTGCCTATTTGAGACTAATCTACTATATTATATACATCCCTAGCGAAGAAAAAACTACAAAGAAACCATATTTGTCATCAATGGCAAGGAAAAATGCCGTCTCACTTTTGTGTATGTTTAGCTCTGTGATTGCAGAACATTATGTCAAAATAACACTTCCTGTTACTATCAGGTTGGCCTGGATTTAGAAAGTTTGTTTTAGGATTCTTTATTAGCAAAACTTAAGATTGTTAACATTTTTGGAACTTTAATCCTAAATTTTGTTCTTAGGTCAATGGAAAAAAATGACAAGACCCCCCTCCCCCGAAAAAAGATATATACCTACAGGTTATTCAGCTGTTTTAGTCTCAGTAAGTTTAGCTGTGGTGTAATTAGGCCACTTGCTCTTACCTGGATCCCAGAGCAGGCCTGCAGCTTTACATGAAGGATTCAATCTGTTAGGACAACAAATATCTGACTTTTCTAAACTCCAGCCTGGTGCCTGCTGAGGGAAATAACCTTGCAGACATCGTGTGGTTGGAGGCATGAGTGTAGCTGCTGCTGTGCATGAAGCAGCAGGCTACTGCTGTGCAGGACAACGACCCTGTCCACCAACTACTTGGCTGCTCCGCCGTGCTGTGCTGGAGCGGATCGCTGTGTGGGAGAATCCAGCATGTATTCACCCAGCAATGGCTGCGACTACTCGGACAAATCGTTGACAGGCGGCCAAATGAGAAATCGGGAAACAAATAAGAGGGGCGATCAGTGTTTTTAAAAAAAACGTAGCTGAGAGCCGCAACAGTCATACAAAGTGGGCAGCTGACACATCGCATTGTGTCTGAGCCCAAAGGGGGCAACTCGGAGACCCGAGCCTCCGCACGGGATGGGCTCCACCGGCTGCTTTACCGCCACACCTGATCTGTGCAGGAGTTTGATCTAAAAACTTGTCATCCACGCCATTATTACAAATCGGGGATGTTGTATTCTGCACGATGGCAGCTGCGATAGCACCAATGAAGGCACTTAGTTTACGTTCAAAGGCCTGTTTTCTTTATTTCCCCCCCTCAAAGTGGGCTCACATGCTAAAGTGTTAGTCATATTGGAGATTATCGACCCTATTTAGGCCGCCATGCTTCACGGGGAGGAGGATGTCCCGTCTAAGTTAGTGCTTCACCTGGTCAGTAATGTCGAGGCTGCGGGGAAGTCATACACCCTTCCATCTTGGTAGAAGTGATGAATTATTAGACGGTGCAGGAAGGACAGCAGCCGATCACACAAACAGTCCGGAGTGATGTTATCCCCCAGGTTAATGGATGGCCCTGCGTGCTACGTTATTGTTAAATAGATCACTAAAATGCTCGGATTTAACCCCCCACACACCGGCACGCATGGACACTTCCACGGATGTCATCCCCACAACTTGCCTGATATACATGTGACACCGATCCCACATTTAATGCCGTGGGATAACAGCGAAAACATCGCGGCAACTACTCCGGGTTCCTTCGAGACACAAGCGAGAGGGGGAAAACGCAAATATCCAGGTCAAAGTTTGGTGGAGTTTTACTCGCCCTCGGCAGCGTTGTGCAATGCCCCCTTTAATGCCCCCTGCTCGCCCGTAACGCCTTTGTTATTAGTAATCGCATGGTATTGCACCGTCTTACCTTGCGCTCCGAGCCGTCGACAGCCTCAAAGCTCCGCACACAGCGCAACAAGCGGCCGCTTCCGTCGCTCCGCTTTCGGTGAGGGGGCCGCGGGTGGGATTTTTTTTGAAGCAGAATGAATACAGTAAGCAATTTTGGCTTGTCCTCGCGATCTTCCCTTATTGCCAGTTTTCGGTCTGCAGCAGCTGGAGATGAAAATCGCGCACCCTGGGTCCTAGCGCCGGGATAAGCCCTACAGGTGAATAACAGGCAGATGGGTTTCTGCCTCTGTTTTTTGTTTTACTGATTCTCTGACTATAATCCAACGCAAAAAACCCACAGTGAGACACAATGACATAATAAATAAACAAATATTTCAATTTAATATCATATTAATAACGACCTTCTGCCATTTAACTCACAAAGAGGTGTGAAAAACCATCTTAACTTCTCCTTATTGGCTTCAGTAAAAAAAAATAAGTTTATTTTAGGTGAAATAGGCATTAAATACATTGTTTAACTGAAGTACTTATTCTACTTAAATCTCTCAACATTTCATTTCCTGTTACCACAACTGAAATGAACAATTCATTTTGAGTTGGAAGTAAAACTGTACAGATTTTAAATTTTTTTTTTTACTAATCTAATTCTTAAAGGTGTTGGAAGTCTTCATCTGCTTTAATCAATGCCTCAAAATAAAAATCTTTGAAAGTAATTGTCCTTAAAGGTCAGATATTGACTATGATTGAGTGTAAAGTTAGATCAGCATAAGACAGCTGCTCTGTTAAAGCTTCAGAAATTTGTTAGAGAGCAGAGACTATGGACTCCCAGTAACAGACAGGTCAGGGATAAAGCAGTGGAAAATGTAAAACAAATCATCTGATTAAAAATATGTTTACAAATATCCTTATTTTTATTATGCAATTGCACTGTGTGCAAGACATGGAACTCAATAGGTTTTATTTGTTAATTTTAGTGATTTACCTTGCTATCCTATAGATTCATAGATTTGGATCCGAAAAAAGACCCTCCACATATGGCAGGTTGTGATTTTAGATAGTCCCATTTATACATTTACATACTTTATCTAGAGTTTATTATGATAAAGGAATAAAACACTGACTCTGAAACTTTAACTCACACCGACGAAAAACAACAACAACAAAATAATTTCAACAATATCCTTGTTGGTTACAGTTGAAATAGAGCTGAGAATCTATTTTAATTTGATTTCCTGTTCATTTTATTTCATGGTGTTTGAATTCTCAAGATAGATCTCAAGATACATATTGGAGGCGAAAACAGTCTACATTTAAAAATATATATGCTTAGTTGCTACCTAATGCCTTTACATGGTTCAATCTGCTGTATCATTCAATAGTGTAAAGAATAAAAAAAAAGATACATTTATGTTAAGACAAATAAAAAAAACAGCCTGTCACCATTGTTTTTAAGGCTCTCTGATTTAAAACAATCAAATCAATATTCTTCTATCATTTAAAAACCTGTCAATAAAAAATTCATGGGTAAGGCTTTTTATAATTAAAGATTTTCAAGTGGAAGTCGTTTTCTATATTTCTCTCAAAATATAAGTGAGTATAATATAATATAATATAAAAGTAAAATATACCAAACAAATCAAACATTTAACAGATTCAGAGCATTCATTTTGAATTAAATTAAATTGAATTAAAATTCAGGAAACTGGTTTTAAGATATACCATCTTCAGAAAGTGTTAATTCATCTGCCATCTATAGACGTATGAATTTCAGTAAAATCTAATTCGTTGAAAGACGCTCCAGCAGAACAATATCAGAGATGTGTGGTCAGGAATGAAGAAGCTCACAGGCTTCAAGCAAGGAGGATCAGATAAATCAATGAACTGAATACATTCTTCAAAAGGTTCAGCTCAGCATCCTTCTCCATCTCCCACAGTCATGGACATCCCACCATCTTCTGACCCAAAGCTTCTGTGTTACACCTTCAATGTTTCATCTTCCAATTCTGTCATGGACCCTCATTCTATGCCTTTGTTTTGAGCAAAATCAATCCCCCTTGTACTGTTCCAGTCTGTCTCTTTTTCCAGTACCATAGAAAACTAAGCCAACAGTCCTCAATGACTACAGACATGTTGCCCTGGCATCCCACACCATGAAGGTCTTGTGTTGGTCCACCTAGCAAGCAAACAGGCACCTATCATGACGCCCTGCAGTTTGCTTATCGCGGTGGAACTGGAGTTGAAGATGCCATTATCTGCCTGCTTCAACAAACCCACTTTCAGACAAGGCAGTGAGCTCTGTGAGGATGATGTCTTTGATTTCTCCAGTGCAATTAACACAATTCAGCCTTTGAGAGACACTCCAGAAGACTAAGAAGGATCAAAGACTGCCTGGCAAACAGACCATTGTTTGTTAGACTGAAGGGTCAGTTGTCTAATCAAGTATTCAGCAGCAAAGGAGCGCCACAAGGGACGGTAGTCTCCCCATTCCTTTTTACTGTATACACCTCTGACTTCCAGTACCAGTCATGTAATCTGCAAAAATACTCGGATCGCTGAAGTCAAGAAACAGCAGAAAAAAAGAATCCTATTAATACCATGGTAGAAGTGGAAGTGGAGGAGTATAAACACCCCAGCTCCTTTATCTTTATCAGGCCCGGCTCTATTCCAGAAACCCTTCTAGAGCCTCTGGAGATGGTTTTACAAGAGGAACTCTTCATGCGCTGCACGATGGCGCAGTTTGTAGAGCTGTTGCCTTGCAGCAAGAAAGTGCAATACCCAGCCCGGGGTCTTGCATGTACAGTGGGGCCAAAAATTATTTAGTAAGCTGATTGTGCAAAATGTCCTACCTAAAATTATTATCATAGGTATACTTCAACTATGAGAGATGAAATGAGAAAAAAAAAATCTAGGAAATCACATAGTTGGATTTTTAAAGAATTTATTTGTAAGTCATAGTGGAAAATAAGTATTGTCAATGACTTAAGTTCAACTCAATATTACAAACATAACCTTTGTTTGCAATGACAGAGCTGAAACGTTTCCTGTACATCTTCACCAGGTTTACACACTGTAGCTGGTATTTTGGCCCACTCCTCCATGCAGATCTCCTCTAGAGCAGCGATGTTCCGGGGCTGTTGCTGGACAATATGGACTTTCAACTCCCTCCACAAATTTTCTATGGAGTTGAGGACCTGTAGACTGGCTAAGCAACTCCAGGATCTTGAAAAGCTTTTTACGGAGCCAATCCTTCATTGCCCTGGTGGTGTGTTTGGGATCATTGTCATGTCTTGAAGATCCAGTCATGTTTCATCTTCAAGGCTCTCACTGGTAGAAGGAGTTTTTGGCTTAAAATGTCATGATGCATGGCTCAGTTAATTCTTCCCTCAACACGGATCAGTTTTCCTGTCCCCTTTGCAGAAAAAAAGCCCCAAATCATGATGTTTCCTCCCCCATGCTGCACAGTAGGTATGATGTTCTTGGGATGCAACGCTGCATTCTTCTTCCTCCAAACATGACAAGTTGGGTTTTTACCAAAAAGTTCTATTTTGGTTTCATCTGACCGCATGATATTCTCCCAATCCTCTTTTGAATCATCCATATGCTATCTGGCAAACTTCATGTGGGCATGGACATGTACTGGCTTGAGCAGGGGGAAACGTCTGGCACTGCAGGATTTGAGTCCCTGGCGGCGTAGTGTGTTACTGATGGTAGCCTTTGTTACTTTTTTCCAGCTCTCTGCAGGTCATTTATCAGGTCCCTCTGTGTATGTAGTTCTGGGATTTTTGCTCACCTTTCTCATGATCATCTTGACCCCACAGGATGAGATCTTGCATGGAGCCCCAGGTCGAGGGAGATTATCAGTGGTCTTGTATGTCTTCCATTTTCTTACAATTGCTCCCACAGTTGATTTTTTGACACCAAGCTGCTTGCCTATTGTAGATTCAAGCCTGGTTCAGGTCTCCAATTTTCTTCCTGGTTTTCTTTGACAGCTCTTTGGTCTTGGCCATGGTTGAGTTTGGAGTGTGACTGTTTGAGGCTGTGGGCAGGTGTGTTTTATACAGATAACAGGTTCAAACAGGTGCCAATAATACAGGTAACGAGTGGAGGACGGAAGAGCTTCTCAAAGAAGAAGTTACAGGTCTGCGAGAGCCAGAAATCTTGCTGGTTTGTGGGTGACCAAATACTTATTTTCCACCATAATTTACAAATAATTTCTTTAAAAATCACACAATGTGATTTCCTGGATTTTTTTTTTTCTTATTTTGTCTATCATAGTTTAAGCGTACCTATGATGAAAATTAAATACCTCTCTCATTATTCTAAATAGGAGAACTTGCGCAATCAATGGCTGACTAAATACTTTTTGACCCCACTCTACTTTGCATGTTCTATCTGTGAATGCATGGGTTCTCTCCAGGTACTCCAGCTTGCTCCCACAGTCCAAAAATATGTCTGTTAGGTAATTTGCCTCCCTAAATAAATGCATCTACTCATAAAAAAGAGCAGATGAGTTACTACGAATTAATTTTTTTTTAGTCCAACTGCTTTTAATGTTCTTTTTTGTTTCTGAATCTTTTTTATTATTCATTTTTTAATTTATTTTTCTTCTACTTGCTCTGATCATGTTTTATTTTCCTGTATTTTAATCATGTAAAGCACTTTGCATTGTCTTTGTACTAAATTGTGCTATACAAATAAATTTGCCATGCCTTGCCTTGCCTTGCCTTACAAATATTAATTTCCCTTTGGGATTTTAAGTTTTTTTGGAATTGAATCTGAACTAACTTCTTTGCGGCCTAAACAGATTTAACTCTTCTTGGAGGACATCCTACAAAGTGTAGGAGTGTCTATCTGGCATTCAGAAGCTGTTACTCAGGTCCGGGTCAGTGGTTGAGCTGCAACAGCTTTTGATTTCTGAAACCTTCCGTATGCCATTTGTATGTTCCTCCCCATGCATGTGTGGGCTCCCTTCAATACTACAGCTTTCTCCAACATTCCAAAAAGATGTTTTTGTATGTGAATGCTTTTTTTGTGTGTCCCTGTGTTACCTCATGACAGGATAACACAGTGACATAATATAGAAAAAAATATCTAGGTATGTCTACAATAACAATGATACAGAGTTTGTTGGAGTATTGAATCATTGCTTTATTTTTCATATTTCTGAGTAATCCAAA